TCTGTTACTTTCTTCCCTGTGAATTTGTGCCTATTTCCCATCTTGAAGTTAAGGGTTTTTCTGAGTCTTCTTAGTCGGCGAGAGCAATAACCCCTGGAGTTCAAGGTAAATTTAAAAACTGTTAAGTTCTAACCTAGACTTGGCTTCTGTTCTATTTCTGTCCTAGCCTAAACTTGTGTTCTGTTCTATTTCTCCCTGTCACACTTCAACAAAGATTAAAATTTCTCCTATGTAGAATACATCTGAGTTGCATAAGATAAAATGTGACAAATGCAGAACTATATTTGAACAATTGGAAGAAGTCATTAAGTATAAAATACAGCCAAACATAAAAGATATGAAAAAGCTGGGCCTATGATGTATAAAGATGGCTTTGCCATCAATTCGTAAAGTGGAAGAAAGCAGTCATATATGAAATTTTGATAATCACATCTTGCTTACCAATTAAACTATAAATTTGAGTGGAAGCACAATAAAAATACAATAGGAAAAGTGCGTATTTATTGCAAACTCAAATTGAGGTTTTAGAAGTTTATGGAAAATACAAGGTCAATGCTGCCCTCATGATGGATTCCTCAGCTTACATTTCACTACACAGACATCTTGAGGACATCTCCTGTTTCAAATTGTGTACAAAGTGCTGGACAAGGGGCACTGCAAATATTGACTCTCCAAAATAATGCATGGTTTCAGGTAACAGTTCTTCTGTTACTTTCTTCCACAGTGTCCCAAGTGGCTAATATGCCTTCATTGTCTGGCTCCAATCTGACCTAATACACAGTTCTGAGCACTCTGCTTTCCAGTCATTTGTATACCCCCACAAACATATTTTTGTTTGTTTTTTTTAAAGGGGGGAGGGAGAAAGCCTGCCTCTGCACACATTTAACACATAGGACAAACGCTAATGAATTCTTAAGAACATAGGAAACTAACCACTCAACAATTAAGCATAAAAATGCAAGTATATAGGGAAGTTTCTTGGAATCCAATTAATTGGTTTAGGGTCAGATTTTCCCTGGTTTGCCTGTATTTCTCTAAAAAAACCAACAACCCAGTATCTTTTCAGACAGGTGAAAGAAGAACTGTCATTAATTTAGGTTCCCCCCCCCCATCAATATCAATAAAGGAAAGCTGGCGTAGTGGTTTGAGTGTTGGACTATGACTCTAGTCCAATGCAGCTTCGTATGAAACCCACTGGGTGACTTTGGGCAAGTCACATGCTCTCAGCCTCAGGGGAAGGAACCCCATGATAAGTTTGTCTTAGGTTCACCATTAAGTCAGAAACTACTTGAAGGAACACACCACCACGACTATATTAACAAAGACAAAGACACTTTTTGTCCACCAAATGTATTTGCATGCACTGATCTTTCCACACTGACCTGTATCTCTGAAAATCACCATGCCGTAACCCATGTTGCTGTTGTGATTCCTTAACAATCTGTAGGACTGAAGTGCTTGTTATGGAAACTTTAACTTGTACACTAGAGGTGTGTTATAGTTACATTTTTTTTAAAAAATCATATACACGATGCTTTCTATTATTTTATCACAGTTCAGTTCAATTTAAGTTCAAAGAACACATCTCAGCAAAATTTTCTGAACACAGTTAAAGCAAAAGCAGACTGTGTAACCGGTTTCCCATACTTCTGAAATTCAGACAAGATTTTATTGCTTAGTTGGCCTTGGGATAAAAAAAAAGAAAAGTTACAATTACATTAACTAAATAATAACAGGTTATATTTAACAGCAACTAAGAAAAACTGTATAATACAATAGGATACTATGCTACTTATTTCTATGACACTTATTTCTGGATTGGAAAATATTAAGTAAAATAAATTTTGTATGCTACCACAGTATTCAGCAGTAAGCTAGATCAATAGCTTCTATTAATTTCAGTTTGAAAATCATTGTCTCAATAAAGCAGTGCTCCTCAGGTCAGCAGATGCAGGGGGACAGTAAGCAGTTACTGTCTCCCAACGTTCAAGGGAATGCCACTAAATTTGTGCCCAATGGGTACAATTGTTTCTTTTCTGGAAACCTGATCTAGAGACCACAACTTTGAGTAGCACTAGTCTAAAGTATAAACTGTGCTCTGGGGAACTCAGTGGTTCCTGATAGCTTATCAAGGGTTTCTTGATGAAGACTGATGAAAATGGACCCATCCCCTGAAAGATACCTACTCCACTGCTGATCATTCTCCCTAGCAATGTGAAGCCAGAAAAATGCATTAGGAATGTTCTAAATCATATGTTTGCTATGGCTAGGCATGGACTGAATGTATGTAGGTGCACTGCTACTCAAAGACATCAACTGCTGGTCTCTGGAGAGTTTCCAGGAAAGAAAGAAGCAATTGCAGTCAATGTAGACAAACCGTGACACACTGAGAAAATAAATGCAGGTCCCAACATCAGATAGCTTATGAAGCCCTATGTAGAGAACATGTCTTTGACTTGTTTGTCACACACGAGGCATCCATGTTAGACAAGTCAATCAGAAAGTGAAGATCACAGCTTTAAGATATTAAAACGTAAACATTCACTTCAGTTGATTTTGAAGTTACTGACATAAAGGTTCCATGGCATGTTGAGAATAATTATATGTGATTTTTAAAGACAAACCAAAAGATTGGGATGTAAACAAATTGTATTTCGTACAGGAGGTTAAAGTAATCTCTGTGTAGGTACTAAAAATAGATTCAAAAGGTATGTTAACTTTTAATGGGTGAAGGTTTTCAGTAATGATATAAAAGAATAGAACAACAATATTTATTATGAAGGAATAAAAATACAATTTAGTAGGAACCAGCCCTCTGGAGATGAGTGAGAGGAAGCATTTCACACTCTTAGAAGAAATTAGTACAGGAAACATTATCTTTATTTAATCAAGAACTTGCAGGATGGTATGCTTTCACTGAATGCTACATGCTGTTAAGTCTCCATTGTGAAAAGTTTACAGTATCTTGCAGAAGTCTGGGGGTAAGGATGGGAAATATTTTCCCATTGACCTATGACTTAAACATCTGCTTGGAAGTAAACCTCCTTACTAGCCTCATTCTCCTAGACAAGTATTAGATTACATCTTTACATAATTACACACTGCTTTTAATCCTTACAATCTTGCTAACTATTTAACATTCCCCTTTCTTATCACTCAACCATCATTCTGCTATTTTGACTTTATAAAGTTCTCTGAAGTCTTCTGTAATCATGTCAACTATTTTAATGTCCTTGCTTCCTTTATCTTCACTCTGTGACCACAACTCCTTCAATCATGTCAATCTCAGACTGACCAAAATTTCATCAAGTAGTTTTAACTTATTACCCTGTTCATATCAATGTTGGAGGCACTCTTCCTATGAGACCTTTGACTTAAGTGATGCATACTCACCCACCTGACTAAGAAAGCCCAAAATATTTGCAACAGCCAAGTGGTAAGTTTCCCCCCCCCCCCCAACAAGAAACAAGCAAAAGAGTGTTTCAGCACTTGCATTTCTTTCTCTAGTACAGGGGTAGGCAACCTTTCCCCTTTAAGGGCTGAGGGACTTCAGCTCCCAGAATCCCAGGAGCTATTGGCCAACATGGGACTATTGGCCAACATGGCTGAGGCTTCTGGGAACTGAAGTCCCTCGGCCCTTAAAGGGGAAAGGTTGCCTACCCCTGCTCTAGTACAACGTTCTTTTATTTACTTTTCCCATCATAACCAAACAGAACAAGTGCTCCTTAAAACTCAAAAGATGGAGGGAATATTGGTCCAAAACACAATGAAGAAATAATTCAGTTCGAGACTACTTTAACTACCCTGGCTCAGTGCTAGGGAATCCTGGGAACTGCAGTTTCTTGTGGCACCAGAGCTCTCTGACAGAGAAGGCTAAATGTCTCACAAAATGACAGTTCCCAGAATTCCCTAGCACTGAGCCAGGGCAGTCAAAGCAGTCTCAAACTGGATATTTCCACAGTGTGTTTTGGACCACTGTGTACTGTCTATCAGTTACACAGGATTTTTTTTCTTTCATGGAGGAGAAGGCTACTGTGGAAACAGCCCTCCTTTCCTCTCCCCACTCCATTAAAATCTATAAGCAACAGATTTCATCTCTTGCTTGAAAAGTTTGCCTACAAACCTCACGGCTCAACATTATTCTGTCTTCATGCATAGACATGTCTGTAATCCTTTTTTCACCAGAAGTCTACCTTGGCAAAATCTCACAAAACATCTTTCAATACTAAGCTGTCTACAAATCCACCCATCGTAGGAAAGCCCTTTTCAAAAACATGTCCTTTTTTCAATATCACAAAAACCTGATAGCAAGTTGATATCCCAAAGCAAATGGGAAGAACCAGAGAAACACTTACAGAGGCTGTTGCCACACTGCAAAATTAATGTAGTTTGAAACTGTCTTAACTATAATGGCAGCATCCCATGGAATGCTGAAATTTGTAGTTTGTTGTGGCATCAGAGCTCTCTGACAGAGAAGGCTAAATATCTTATCAAACTACAAATCCCGCGATTCCATAGCATGGAGCCCTGGCAAGTTCAAGCCAAACTGCATTAATTTTGCAGTGCAGAAGCAACCAGGGTCTGACTGAAGCTTCTACATCAGGTAAATCTAATTCCCCTACATTTTGAGTGCCTAGTATCTCAGCTCAGCCATGTAAACCCACTGAGTGGGTAAGTCACACTCTCTCAGCCTCAGATGATACAATTGGCAAACTCCCTCTAAAGAAATTTTCTAAGAAAATCCTGTGATAGTTTCCCCTTAGGGTTGCCATAAGTCAGAAATGACTTGAAGGCACACAACAACAGTGTGGCATAGGGATTTGAGTGTTGGACTACAACTCTGGAGACCAGGGTTTGATTCCCAACTCTGCTATGGAAACCCACTGGGTGACCTTGGACAGGTCACAAACTAGGGAAGGCAAGGGCAAACCCCCTCTAAAGAAACTTGCCAAGAAAACCATAAGTCATAAGTTGGAAATGACTTGAAGGCACACAACAACAACAGTGTAACGTAGGGGTTTGAGTGCTGGACTACGACTCTGGAGACCAGGGTTCAATTCCCAACTCAGCCATGGAAACTGACTGAGTAAACCTGGACAAGTCATACTCTCTCAGCCTCTGGAGAAGGCAATGGTAAAAAAAAAAAACACAACCCTCTCAAGAATGCTGTGAAGAAACCCCCATGATAAGATTCCCTTTTGGGTTGCCACAAGTTGGAAACAACTCAAAGGCACACCACACACACATACACACACGAGTGAAATGGCCCTTATTACTCATTCCAACCAGGGCCATATGCTTCCTTCTCCATTCCTCCATTAACCAAATGCATATCTGAGGATGCAGACTGTAGCCTAGGAAAGCTCCTGCTGCCCACTTCTTTCTTTCATTGAGCCTCAGAAATGCTACAAGACCTCTCTCTACATCAGGGGTAGGCAACCTTTCCCCTTTAAGGGCCAAGGGACTTCAGCTCCCAGAAGCCTCAGCCATGTTGGCCAATAGTCCCATGTTGGCCAGTAGCTCCTGGGATTCTGGGAGCTGAAGTCCCTCGGCCCTTAAAAGGGAAAGGTTGCCTCCCCCTGGGCTATATCTTTGAATTCTACATCTGTGTAAGGTAGATTACATCAGTATGTAGAGAAAGGGATCTTGTAGCACTGAAAGGCATTAGTGGGCAGCAGGAGCTTTCCTAGGATGTTATCACATGGGGAGAAAGTGGAAATAAACCAGACGAGCGGAAGACTTTAATTTACGGGATTTGTCCCGTTCCGCCTTGTCTGGTTTATTTATATTACTTGAGTCTACTTCCTCTAGAGCAGTGATTCCCAAACTCTGATCTTCTGGATATTTTGGACTTCAGCTCCCAGAATCCCAGACCACTGACTGAGATGGCTGAGGCTTCTGGGAGCTGAAGTCCAAAACACCTGGAAGATCAGAGTTTGGGAATCACTGCTCTAGAGTCTTAAGTCTAGGAAAGCTCCTGCTGCCCACTTCTTTCTTTCAGTGAGCCTCAGAGGTGCTACAAGACCTCTCTCTACATCTGGGGTAGGCAACCTTTCCCCTTTAAGGGCCGAGGGACTTCAGCTCCCAGAAGCCTCAGCCATGTTGGCCAATAGTCCCATGTTGGCCAATAGCTCCTGGGATTCTGGGAGCTGAAGTCCCTCGGCCCTTAAAGGGGAAAGGTTGCCTACCCATGGGTTAGCCTGTAGTAGACCTTGGGTTGTGAGTGGGCGGAGGGAGGGAAGGAGGGAGCTCCCTCGGCCCAGGGGCGGCCCTTTGCTGAAGTGACACGTCCCCACCAAGGCTCCCAGCCCCGTCACTCTGGCAGGATACTCTCCAGGCCCAGGCTGTCCCCGAGGCCGTCGCCTGACTTCGGCTTCTCGTTCTCCTTGTTATCTTTGTTCTCCTCGAGGCCAGCCGCCGAGCTCCCCCCGCCGCCACCAGCATTGCTGCCGCCTCGGCCGCCGCCGCCGCCGCTGCTGCTACCAGCCACCTGCCGCTCCGCCGCCATTTTGCGCCTGTTCCGCCCGCCGCGCGAAGCATGATGGGACGGCAACGAGGAGGCGCCTAGAGCGCCCCGCGCGGAGGCCATGGCCGCTGAGGCAGATGGGATAGAGGAGGACGGCGGAGGGAGACGCGGCTTAGAGTAACGGGAGTTGAGAGACAGCTCCGTAAAGCTTCTTCCGCTGCATCCGCGCTGTAGAAATAATCCATCCTGACAGAGCTCTAAGTGCTATGGCTCCATGCTCTGGGAATTGTAGTTTGTGACTCATTGAACCTTTTCTGTCAGAGAGCTCTGGAGCCATAGCGAACTATAAAGCCCAGGATTCCATTAACACGGAGACGTGGCAGTTAAAGCGGAGTCAAACTGCGTTAATTCTGCAGTGTGGATGAGGCAGGGTGACCAGACCGGGTCCTCCTTTTCCAGGACATGCCCTCCATTTCAGCCTCCTTCTTTCCAAGGGGAATTTCAAAATGTCCTCCATTTTAAGCCTGACTTAGGAAGCATGGATTTATATTTGCCTTATAGTGTTCTTAGATTTTTTTAAAATTTATTTTGGAATGTCCTACATTTTCCTCTTTTTAATTTTTTTAAAAAAATTAAACATTTAATAAGTGATCTATGGCAATCATTTTTTAATATTTATTTTTCTTATTTTACAAATTTACAAGCTTGCTGAAATCATATCAAAATTCTTCTTACAAACAGAACATTTCTTGGTTCATTAAGTCATTTCAACATTATGTTACATGAAATACCCAAATTAATAATTTCTCACCATACTTCCCATGTTCTCCTGACATTAAGACCTTTCTATTTTTATCAAATTATTTACGCTTTTAGTCATTCTTTTCATTCAAACGTCAAAACAACAACAACAACAACATGGTGTTTCACAGTCATCTATATACATAGTGTACATTATTCACATCTTGCACTATCTACTTTCATCTTTAAAGATGATCTTCCAACTCCTGCATTTTTCTTGAGTGTCCTCCATTTTGTGGTGCCTTGTCCTCCTTGGTGGTTAGGACACTGGGTGACCTTGGTCAGGTCACACTCTCTCAGCCTCGGGGGAGAGGCAAGGGACACAAATCCTGTCAGGAAAACCCTTATCTGCTTTCATCTTTAAAGATTATCGTCAAACTCCTGCATTTTTCTTGAGTGTTTGCTGTGTATGCTTAACAATTGTTATTGTTGTGTCCTTCAGCTTGTTTCCAATTTTCTTAACCTGGGGTTTTCTTGGCAAGATTTGTGCAAATCCTCTGAGGCTGAGAAAGTGTGACTTGTCCCAAGTCACCCAGTGGTTTTCCATCGCCAAGTGGGGATTTGGAGCCAGATCTCCAGAGACCTACGCTGCTGCCACACTGCAGAATTAATGCAGTTTGATGCTGCTTTAACTGCCATGGCTCAATGCTATGGAATTCTGGGATCTGTAGTTTTGTTTGGCCTTCTCTCTCAGAGAACAGGGTGGCTCACCAAACTGCAAATCCCAGGATTTCATAGGATGGAACCATGCCGGCTAAAGCAGTGTCAAAGTGCATTAATTTGGCAGTGTGGCAGCACTAGTCCAACGCACAAACCCCTACACTACACTGGCTCATGCTTATCTAGGGAAGAAAATGGATTGAACTCCGGAGTGGTTCCTTCCTTCCAAGCATAAGCTGTAGTAGGGTCTGAAGTTGTGGGCATCTCTCTGAAACTATAGCATTGCAGAATACCTAGGAAAATTGCCTGGCTTTTCTTGACTTAAAAAACAAAATCCTATCAAATGCTTCTTTGCCTTTAGGACAGGTATACCTGAGTTAATGGAAATACAGTCCTCCCTCCTTATCCACAGATTTTACATCCATGGATTCTGACACACATGGCTTGAAACTATATATTTTAATATATATATATAAACAAACCTTGATTTTGCCTTTTTAAAATAAATAAATAAGGGATACCATTTTACTACACCATTGTATGGCATAGGACTTGAGCATCCATAGAGTTTGGTATCTGTGTATCCTGGAACCAAACCACAGAGGATAGCAAACACATTTTGGAAGAAGCCTTGAAGTGGCCTCTAGAAAGTTCAAAATGGTTTTGCTTACCTATTTGTTTCTTTTCATATGTGCATATTGTTAGGGGTTTTTGGGGGGGGGGGGAAGTTTGCTGAAACATGTTGAATTGTTTTGTTTTGTGGTCTAGGAACCTATCTCTGTTCTCTCCGTGTTATTTCTGCATCTAATACCATATTTTATGTTGAAGAGGTAATGCTCACAAACATATCTGCTTTATAAAATGAGGTATACCTCTGTGGTTTATGTTGGTTCCCTTTTTGATGGTTCTGAGATGCATTGTTCAGAATTCCCCCCCCCCCAAATCAGGCACTAGTATGTGCTAAATATACCCAAATCTGTTGATTCTGGATTTATCCACACTGGAGAATTAAAACAGTTTGACACCACTTTAACTGCCATGACTCTCTCCTACAGAATCCTGGGATTTGCAGTTTGATGAGACACCAGTGGTCTGACAGACCAGGTTGGCTACCTCACCAAACTACAAATCCCGGGATTCTGTAGGAAAGAAAGAGTCATGGCAGTTAAAGTGGTGTCAAACTACATTAATGGTCCAGTGTGGATACACCCTCTGTTTTTATTGGATCTGCTTTTGTATTTTCTGGCAGAAATTTAACAGAGAATTTAGCATACTCTTAAAAAAAAATCAGTGGGCTTTAGCTTGCCTCTCTTTGCTTTGGATGTAGGCGTGTGTTCTGGTGGTGCATACATTTGAAATAAACTCATCAAATATCCTGTGATCAAGAGAACTTTGAATGGCTGAGAGTGGTGAAGCTGGATGAGTAATGGCCATAGGAAGGGGTGTCTCCTGCATCCTTCTCCCAGTGGAACAAGAAATACTGGTACTAGTGAAATAGAAATCCTCACTTCCCTGCTGCATCCTCCAAACTGTTCCAGAGGCTTGTGGGCTACAGAAGGAAAGAGAAGACAGGGAAGATATCTCACACAAAAACTGCATTTAAGCCATTAGCTGCATTTGACTATCATAATCATAGGGTGTAAAATATATCTTCAACCAATGACAGAATCTCAGGACTTTATCACACAGGACAGATCCCCCGCAGAAACTGGATTTAAATTGGGAAAAAAAACCCTGTCAGGCAATGTTCGGGGTTAACCTGAACAGAAAGTAGAAAAAACCTGCAAAAGCAGGTTATTTATCAGACGACGTTAGCTTTAATAGAATTAATGCGACATTAATCCGAACAGAAACTAGAAAACTCCCGCTCTTTTTTACTTTTGGAAAATCCCGAAAGTAAAAAGGGGTGGGTTTTGTCTACTTTCTGTTCGGTTTAATGTCACATTAACCCAGTTGTGTATGAAAAACTACCCGCTTTTGCGTTTTTTCCCTGGTTTTTAAATCCCATTTCTATACAAGGTTTCTGCAGTTTGCCCCCATTTGATAAACTCCTCAGTTAGGAAGTGATGAGGCCTTTCAGAATTCCAATAAGGTCAATGGAAGGCAGAATATAGTCTGTGGGTTATAGTGTTTCTTATTTATTCT